ATGCCTTCAAAACTAATGGATCTTGATCTGTCTATGAGTAATGCTAGAATCTCACTAACCTAAAGGAACAAGAGAAGAAATAAAAGAGGTACAAGTAGAGAGATGAAAATCCACTATGTAGGCTTAAAGAGTGCAAAACAAAGTCTATGACCGAAAATAGTCAGAACCGAACTCCTAGCTCCACCTAAAATCCCCTATTTAAAAATAAAGATATAGGACTCAAATGGTACAGAGAATGTTACAGCATAAAGTGTACATATTAAAAATGGTATAGGAGGTATATAGCCGTAACACAAAATCAAACTAGAACAAAAAAAACATAATCAGCCATCAGGATGAAATCAGACGTTGGGTATTAGTTGGCTGCCGAGAGATTATTTACAAATGGGTTAAATATACATTAATTATTTTTGTTTACCAAATGAGAAACTTTGAGGAAGATCATGCCAAAAACTAAGCAATTTTTTTATTTAAAGATGACGGGTAGTTCTAAAAGATTCCTTGCATTTAACAAAATGCTAAAACAAGAAAACAGAAACTTAACTAACTTTCTCTAGAAAGATTCCATTAAATATGACTGAAAATATGAAAACATCAGAAAGCGGTACAGTCCCGCCTTTATATGCTTCTCAGGACAAACAAACATGAAAGCATTTCCTCACAACTGAAACTCTTCCATGGGCAACTAAAATGACATTGATAAAGCAATCATTTTGACGTGGGCATACTAATACCAGATTTCCAGCGACCGAAAAGCAGGCGTTATGCTTGCTTGCTAGGATTGAGTTGGAGTATCGACCAGTCCCTTGGGCACACTCCTAATTATCCTATTATTATAAATTTGCTTTCTTGATGTATTAGGCTTACTTTTTTATATGTTTTATGTCGGGACAGCGGTCAGCATCTCTTCTTCCCTCTTAGGGCTATATCCAAGGGTTCAGGATGCTTTGGCCGTATTTCACTCATGAGGTGATGATTATCTTCCACATCCTCCCACATTGCTCCAAGCCGTCCCTATCCCTGTAGCAGCTGCCCGGGACAGCAGTTCCTGATGTTGCTCCCTGCAGTCCTCCCAGTTCCAGCCGCCTCCCTTTCCAGCCTCGCTGCCGCCCAGCACAGCAGCCATCAGTACTGCAGCTGCCCGGGACAGCAGCCGTTGCTGTCTTTCCTGCAGTCCAGCCACCAAGCAGCATGTTTTCCCTCATTCCAGCCTGCTAGCCCCATGCCGCCACCCCTTCCCCTCACTGTCATCCTTTAGAAAACAGTAAATCTCCTGTTCTTCGGCTGTTTAAGCCACCCGCAACCCCTTCCAGTCCACCTAGCCAACCACCAGCACCCCTGGAAGTGAGTTTGTGTGTCGTGTTGTTGATATTTTCCTCTTCATTTGTGTGGTTGTAAGTTTCTATTTGAATTCAACAAAAATAATATTTTCTCTTTATTGTCTGGTTAACTCCGATATCATTTGATATCAGAACTGTCCTAACCCAAGTCTTATTTTAGGATTGTCAAATCAATCGCCCTCCCCAGAAATTTTTTTTTCTCTTGTTCCACTCAAACTATCCTTAGATACCCTTCCACTCCTCCAAATCTAAACCCTCGCCACGCCACTAAGGAGACAATTGTCGGAAACCTAACCAAGAGGAAATGCTATAATGTCGCATATGAGAAATCCACGAAGAGATGTCCATAAACTTTCTAGAGAAATCATTCCACTGCAATGGAGGTTTGCCACCTTCATGAACAAACAATCCAAACTCCATTCAATTCCAGAGATGATGAACCAATACCCCAAAGATCTGGTATAAAATACCAAAGCCAGGATCTCGAAGTAAAGATAGATTTATCATATTGTGACAACCACAAGGATCCGGACAAATTCCTCAAGTGGCTCTAAACAGTTGAATGTGTCTTTGAGCATCAGGATATCCTACCAGACAAAATGGTGAAACTAGTTGCCAGCAAGTTAAAGAATGGTGCATCTTTGTGGTGAGAGATTTTGAAGATTCATCGACACCGAGAAAGAAAGAGTAAAATTATTACCGGATGCAGCGCCATTACCATCCAGTTCATTACAGACAGGACGTTCAAACTATATCGTTAAAAGTGGAGCTACAGGCAGAGTTAAACCCCCAGGATTAAGCAACAAGAGTATACTAAACAGAGCATCCAAGTTGTCCCTGCCTGCGGAGAAACTAGTTTAGAGTGGAGAACAAGTGAAGTTAACCAATTCCCAAATCCGTCCCCGTGAGGAAGTGCATCAAGTGCCATGGTTTTGGGCACAATACATCAATTTGGCAAAATAAGACTTCGGTGGAATTTCAATTAGCTAAGAACAACAAAAAAAAATGAACAATGACACCATAGGCACTGAAGAATGTGAGAGCACAAATGAGGAATACCAACTACCTACTGATGAGGGAGAGATGCACCGAATACAAGCTGAGTCCATGAGAGATGCTCCAGTAGAATTAAAATAGTTATTCTAGAAGGAAGTGAGTCCGAGATAATGTAAGTTCATGTAGAGTATGAGGTTGTGGTGCCTCGACTCTTTTTTGCATGCGTTGAGAGAAACATCAGCAAAATTGACAATGGATCCCAAAATAGTCATGAGTTCAAGAAGCTGATACCAGACACGGGACAATCTTAGATTAGAGAATTTCATAATTTTTCAGATATATAGCCTACCTTTTGAGTTGCCCTTACTCACGGAAGTCCAACATATCAGAGATGAGAATCTTTTCAGCAACTTTTGTGAAGACTGTATGGAGTCATTTGGGTATTAAAATCAATTCAGCAATGTACCCACTGATAGGAGTGATGACCAGCAGTGTCGAAAATCAACTAAGGAGTTATGCGGGAAAATGGGATCCAAGTCCTTCCAGAGAAGAAGAAGAGACAGCTCTCGAGTGGTTGATATTGAGAGTTGCCCAACCTACCACGAATTTCAATCCAAAGTTAATTCCCCCAAATTCTCTCGAGTGGTTGATATTGAGAGTTGCCCAACCTGCCACGAATTTCAATCCAAAGTTAATTCCCCCAAACGAATTTGTTTATACCCAAATTAAATGCACCTCATCAAGCATGGGGAGTGGAAGGGGCAAAATAACATTTAATGGCTCTTGAGTTACTTTATGAAAATCTACGTCAATATACAGCTTCAGCTCCGATTGTGCCAAAAGAAGATGAATACTTATTCTATCAGGATGTGTTTTAAAATGAAAACGCCAACAGGATTGACTTACAGGGAAGTTACATAGCTACAACACCTTCAACGTGATTGACCTTGCCTCCATACTATGAGGAGATAGAAGCTTCGATGAATAAGGTTGAAACACCCCCAAACCCGAGAGACTGGCGTGGGCATACTAATGCAGGAATTCACGCAACCGAAAAGCAGGCTCTACACCTTCTCCAAACCAATCTAGGTTTTCTGTGAGGTCGAGAATTGGTCATTCCCTTGGGCTCAATCATTGTTATCCGATTATTATAAATTTGCTTTATTGATAGTATTAGGGTTAGTTTTTTGTGTGTTTTCTATCAAGACAACCATCGAGTCTCTTCTTCCCTCTTAGGGTTCAAGGGTAGATTCGAGAGGTGCTCCAGCGGTCTCATGCTCCCGATGTGGTGATTATCTTCGCTATCCCCTTCCACATCCTTCGCACATCACTCCCAATTGTCCCCATCCCTGTTGCAGCCGACGGAACAGCAGTTCCTGATGTTGTTCCCTACAGTCCTCCGAGTTCCAACTGTCTCCCTACATTCCAAGCCTTGCTGCCGCCCCGCACAGCCGTCCTCCACCCTTCCCGCATCGTCTTCTGTCTCCTTCCACTGCTGCAGCAGCCCGAGACAGCAGTCGTTGCTGTTTTTACTGCAGTCCAGCCGCCCAACCAACTGTTTTCCCTCATTCCAGCTGCTGCCCCTTGCCGCCACCCCTTCCCCTCACTGTCATCCTTAGAAAAATAGTAAATCTGCTGTGCTCCAGCTCTTCAAGCCACCTACCACCCCTTCCAATCCACTTAGCTGACCACCACCACTCCTCGATCAAACCCGAGTGTGTTCTATTGTTGATATTTTCCTATTTTTGTTTGTGTGATTGTAAGTTTTTATTTGAATTCAGCAATAATATTATTTTCCTATTGTTGTTTGGTTAACTCCCGTATCTCAATCACATGACGATTAGCTCTAAGAAAGAATTCCATTACTTTCTGCAGGCTTTTTAAACTCTCAAGTGGAAATAAAAGCCCTAAAATTTCACATAAAACAAACAAGCAATCAATTAAATCGTGTCAGCATAAGAAATTTAGAGAACAAAAAATAAAAATGGTATTGCTAGATGGATGAAAAAATGCATAACCTGTGTACTTGGATGTAAAAATAGTGTTACCATCATCTCCCTCCTCATTAATCATTTTTTTTATTTTGAGTTGGCTAAACATTAGTTTATAGAATCTAAATAATCACGATAACTGTATGATGCGGATCCTTCTATTATGGGGCTTTGTTGTTTCCTCTTTCCCACATTGTTAGTTGCCTCCCTACGTGTCTTGTTGCGTTCTTTTCAAACATAGGATTTTTAATGGTTCTAGGGACTCTATTTATCAGCTCCTGCTTACAGTATTCCCAGGTACTATTGTAATTCCAAATTCATTCATTCAAGAAAATAACAATTAAAATTTTAGCTAACTACTCTTTTGGTAAGATGAAATGACTCTATTTATCAGCTCCTGCTTACAGTATTCCCAAGTACTATTGTAATTCCAAATTTATTCATTCAAGAAAATAACAATTAAAATTTTAGTTAACTACTCTTTTGGTAAGATGAAACTGAACATACAAAAAATCCAACACTAATGATACTTCATTTATGTAGATATTTTATAATTCATAACTTGGACAACCACAAGATTTATGATAAACATATTGTTCAAACGATACTGCAATGGTTTCAAAAGCTGCTAGAATAATGAGATTTAAAAGATCAATAATTCAATATATTTTACCTGATTTCGGCACGAATATGCTCAATATTCTCACATTTTTCGGCATAATCTTCAATCTCTTGGATGTCAACCCCAAAATATCTGGAGATGTTAGTAAAAGAATAACTATTCAAGTATTATTCACGTTCCGTAGTTGAATAGGATGTCAACCCCAAAATATCTGGAGATGTTAGTAAGTGAATAACTATTCAAGTATTATTGATAATTAGAAGAAAAGATCAAAAGATGCTAGAAATGGAAACAATAGTTAAGTATACCGCAATATTAAGGCAAAAATCAAGAAAAATTCATTGACAACAAGCAATGTGTATTATCTGCTGAAGATGAAATAACTAATGCGTAAAAGCAGTGATCTAAAGCTGAAATCCATGAATTCTTAAAGCTCCATTACAAACATATAAGTTGATCAAATGAGGATCTTAAGTATGTGTTCGTCATCATAAAGGAGATACATAAAATCGTGATAATAATGGAGGAATTTAAAATGTGCCATACACTAAAGCAATAGGAGAGAAAAATGAAACATAAGCTTAGGAAAATCACTTTCGCATCTGAGAATCAGAAAATTAATATATGCAAGGAAAGATTATTATGGTAGTACTTTTACACTAAGGCGATTCATAGAAGTATAGAGGGCAGCATATGAAATTTGTTTCATTGAGAAGGAAAATAATTAAAAGCCAAAAGAAATGATTTAATGTGCATTAAGGATAAAAGGTATGTATTCAAAAGTATATGTTGATGCTATAAAAGATACGTATGATGGAAAAAAGATTAATACTAACAAAATTTTGAGTGAATAAAATATTTCCATTCATAGTAGGATACATCAATGAACAACTTCAATTTGTATATTTTTATATTGGTTATGAAATCAAAATTCAAAATGGTGTAATATTGTGCATGTTATTTGCCAATGGCATAGCTATCATCAATGAGAAGCCTACATAAATAATAAAAAGTCAAACCAATTGACATTTTTATAAAAATAACTGGGCATAAATACTGTAATTTTAGAGGGAACAAAATAAATGAGTCATATCACTAGAAAATCAAGTAAAACACAAGTTTGATTAGTTAAAGTATTTTGGATATAGTTTACAAAAGAATAAAAAATATATTTAAACTATAAAATTTGGTCTTAAAATATGATACTTAAATAAATAACTGTCTAAAGTGTATTATGTTCTAAGAAAACATTGTGAAAATTTAAAATGGTAAATGTCATAATAACTTTCAACGCAAAGATAAGCTTTCAATGATTAAGAACGAATCAGGATACTCCAAGTCTGCATTCTGCTGCAAGCAAAATATGGTTCTAACCCCGATTTTGACAAGCTTGTCAACATCTGATGGATTCTGCAATAGTGCAGCATACGATTTAAGCAAAGGAAGAAAAGAGAAATAGTGAACAACCACACGCAAGTGGAGTACCTGTAGGCAAGAACCAACAATTAAGTCTGGAAGAATAAAGTTGTAGTTCATCCCAAGCTCATGCCGATAGGTTAGCACTGAAAAACATTTTTTGCAAGCAGGATATATTAGATGATAATTATAGTTGTTGTATGAAATAGAGTTAACATAACTTAACACCAAAAGGAACTACCCAAAACAAACATAATTCGATTCAAATAAGAGAAAAATAGCAAACATTAGCAGATTCACCTGCACCCATAGCTTGTTTCATGTTATCGCTATATTCTTCAGATTTCTCTTTTTGCACGTCAATGCCACCCTTTTCACTGCTCTGAGCAGAACCTGATGATGCCTGAGAAATGATCTTATTAGTTATTATCAAAAGAAGTACTCTCAGAAAAGCTACACTCTCCCTCAGGGTTTGATTATCCAATCCTAATTAATATCTATATTACCAAAAAAACCCAAAACTTGCCATGTTTTGTAACTTCCCGTTAATATTAATTGGGGGAGAGTAAACGAGAGAACAGGAGGAAGAAAGAAAGATGAATCATTCATTGGTGTATGTTATGTTTTATATAGTATGGTTTTATATAGTATGTTGAATTGAATGTGATGAGCACATGAATGATATGTTTATGTTGACTGCTTGTAAGTGCATGAATGACTGACTTTATGATACTAATGAGGGAACATTAAGATACCTGTGCATGTATATGAAAAATGATATTGATATTGAAGTACAATAAGTTGTATAATTTTTAGACGGTGCTCCTGTGACGGTTGTACAGATACAAAATATTATTCACGGTGCTCCTGTGACGGTTGTACAGATACAAAATAATATTCATTCATTGAATAGCATGTTAAATGTTTATATTGATTTATTAAAAGCTTAACCGGCAAGCATATTACTTTTTTTTTCTCTTTTATTACTGTAGTTTAGAAGTATGAGTCTTCACTGGCTTGTTCAACTCATTATTATTTTTAAACTAACTTTAAACTAACTTTTCAAGTTAATAAAGTGATTAAAAGATGAAAGATAGAAGATAAAATATTTATAAAAGACGTGAACAATCAATAACAAAGTAATTTTAAATATATAGTGGTTTTTATTTATTAATAATTAATTATAGAAGATAACTACGAAAAATTTTAATTCTCACTGTCCGACCATTAATTCTTGCCTTGGTTAATTCCAAGCCCCAAGTCGCGTCATGGTAAAAGTGGTATCAGAGCCAAGTTTCAGGATTAATTAATGAAATCTTGATAAAAGAGCCAATGGGTATTATAAAAAAACTTTAATATAAAAAATTAAAATGTTAAGTTAACTCAAATTAATAATTATATCCATTCAGACATAGGGCTGCACTCGAAATTATAGAAAAAAGGAGCGATAGAAAATTTATGGAAGGATTATGTCCTCATAGGCGAGGAGGAGGCATGAGGAAGTATCAGAGTAGGGTTTGTCGAGAAGCGAAGAGGAGGACGTCGACTTCTCGAGCAGGACGGAACCGAGCATAGAGTAAGAAGGAATTGTGCATCTACGGGTAAGGGTTTCGACCAACCAGCAAAGAAAAAGAGGAGAGCACGAAGCGTCACAAAGGAGGAAAAAGAGTCGAGCTCATGCGAGAGGGAGTCGAAGCCAAGATATTGTGTGTTGTGGATTGGAGTAGAGCGCAGAGGGAGGAAGAAACTTTTGTTCGACAGGGGAGGTAAGCTTTAATTAAATTTTTTGATTTAATTGTTATTAGTATTATTATTATTTATATATATTTATTTAATAGAAAATTTTAGCGGGATTATATAAAGAAAAATAGGAAAATTTAATACATAAATAAAGTTAATAGCTGATTAAAATAATATTTTTTAAAATATGGTAATATAAATGTGATGCTTATGCTCGGTTTCCAATTTAAAGGAGTTAATGTCAAGGCAAAATAAATAGCAAATTAATCGACATCGAGATAAGTACTCATACTTTTAATATATAGTAATAATTTATTTCTTCTCAACTATTTTTTAGTTAATAACACTTGCACATGTTTTATTCTGATTGAAATAATCTTTTCTTTATCGGGCGTATTGTTATGAATGTTTATAGCTATTTATTATCATACACTGGTGTATGTTTTATAGAGTATGTTGAATTGAATATGATGAGCACATGAATGATATGTTTATATTGATTGTTTATATGTACATGACTGACTATGATGGAGTCAGATTTTTATAATAATAGTGGTGGAACACAAAGGTACCTGTGCACATATATGAAAATTAATATTGATATTGAAGTATTATAAGTAGTATAATTCTTAGACAATGCTTCTGTGACGATTGTACAAATATATAATGACATTGATTCATTAAATAGAAAGTTAAATATTTGTACTGATTGATTAATAAGCTTAACCGGCATGCACATTACTTTCTTTCCCCTTGTATTTTTGTAGTTTAGAAGTATGTGTATTCACTGTTTATTTAGCTCATTATTATTTTTAAACTAACTTTTCAGAGTAGATAAAAGGGATAATGTTTATAGAAGACGCGGACAACTAATAACTAGGTAATTTTAAATATATTACTCTAAATTTGATTTGTGTCTCTTTCGTTTATTAATAATTAGTTATTAAAAATAATTAGAAAAAATTTTAATCCTCACTGTCCGGTCGTCTGTTCCAGTCATGATTAATTTCAAACCCCTGGCCGAGTCAAGACATGTTTACAGATTTGTCAGATAATATTAAAATTACCACACACAAAATCTATCAATAATATGAATAAGAAATAGTTTTACACACACTTTAAATGGACAAGAAATTTTACACCTTTCTTCGAACTTCTGGTAACTCTAACAAACTTTACTCTTCTTAACATCATGAATATTATGTTTTAATGGTAACATGTTTAACCACAGGTTAACACCACTCTTACAGAATTAACCGCCCTGTTAAATTGCAAATTCCCTTCTGATAACACCATTCTTGCCGGCTCAAAAAAAATAAAATAAAAGCCCAAGTTGTAAATTAGCTTTCTCCGCATGACAGGTGTCAAACTAGTATAAGAAGGTCAACAACTCCAAGCTAGAAGACCAAAAAAATAGAGAAAAACAGCCAGACTAAGTACATCAAAAACAGGACATCCGAATTAAGTACTTGTGGCAGCCAGAGTGCAGTTATAATGAGAAGCATGACCATCAGAAATCTGATTGCAATTGGAGAGAAGAAAGATATGCAGATTAAGGTGCATGAGGTGATTTTAGTAGTTAAACAATGGAACCTTGATGTTTTAATAATCCTCACGAGGGGAACTGAACAGCGTCCAAATTTCAAAAGTTGAAGGCCAAAAATGAAGATACAAAAAGTAACCTAGACAATGCGAAGAAAATGGCTGCAGTATATAACCTAGAATTGGCAGCAGTAGGGAAAATGAAAGTTAATGGAAAAGTTACTAGAAACTATTGGAAAGCAGAAGAGACAATAAGTGGCTGTTTTAGCATAAATGCTTCAGATTTTCTTGGTTAAGCAAAACTTCTTAGTTAAACAAAACTTAGAGTAGAATGATGTACATAGGAAAGAAGAACTGAGATTTTCTTGGCATTGAAGATAAGCAAGAAGCTTGTTCTAGGTTAAGCAAAACTTCTAGAGAGTAGAATGATGGTTCTTGGTTGTTGATGAAAAAATAAAATTGATATGCATATAGGAACCAAAGATTCAGCATTTAATCAGGCATAAACTGACACCGGAGTTAACCAAAATAGCAACAAAAATACAAATATTATTGCGGAAATTCATAAGGGATTACAATCAAGACATCAAAAAATAGGAAAACAACAACACGCACAAAACTAGGGCGTAGGTCGGAAAGGTGGTGATACGTCTCGGCACCAAAATCAGCGAACAAACCACGAAGTACGGCAATAGATAGGTGGAATAATAAAAAAAAA